TTTTTTTTTTCGCAGATTTCGGGTTCCGTTTTTATTTTGCTATTTGCAAGTGACTATTCCCTCGAGGCATGTAGTCAGATTGGAACTAACGATAGACAGCATGGGGGGTATAGACAAATATGTTCTTCGCATCTGAGCAGAATTCGTAAAAACAAGTTTTAAGAAATTGATAAAAAACAATTTAGGAAAATGAAATATTAATTTGTGAACACATGATTTTTTGAAAATTTTTGTTGTCCGAAAAAGGAATAACTCCGACAGATCACATCAATCGTCGATGTTTTCAGAGTGGTGCGTTACATTCAGTTCTGAAATTGGTTCGACAAGCATCAACACCTCCGGAAACCAATAAACTGCTGTTGCGAGCGCTAGCCGTGCTCTGCGCTGTTTCAAAAGGATGTTTATCATTGCTAGCGGTTGGTGTATGACTTTTCCTTTTTTCAGCTAGACCACTCACTTGTTTATCCACTTATTTACAATTCTATTCCTCAAAATCCTATGTTTTGTTCATAAACATTGGCGCCTTATATTTGAGTTTACGATTTCTTTGATAGGCGCCTCAGGGACTTTCCTAGGCGCTTTCTGAACATCTAAAGAAGGGAAGAAATCTTGTTCTCATATTTCACCCCTCCTCCGTTCTCCTTCCCGCTGAGTCCTTTTCTTCTCAATACGACCATCTTGTCTGAAGTTATCGAACATAGCCCCCTTTGTAGAATATGATCAACGTATCCTTGACTGATGTTCAGAACAATATTCCGGCTACGTTGGGGAGGGCGAACAAGACAGGAAGTCTGTCTGAATTCTGAAGTAAACGAAAAAGAAGCAGACATGTGACCATTACTGAGGCAGGGTCTCGACAAGGCTGCTTCTTGCATGTTTTTTTACGAATGTGGATTGTGGAGTCACTATATTCCAGATAACCCCGCTCTCCTATCACATTTTGAAGGTTTCTCTGAAGTTACTCTCGAACCGTTTTCCCCTCATCCTCCTGACTTTCCTCTCTTGCTTGACGGCATTTTCTTGGCTATGACATGCACAGAAGAGAATGAGTTCAGGGAGACGAAATTGGGATGGAGGAGAGGGGGAGGGGAGAGGAGAAGGGCAATTACGAACATTTCTTATCAAAAACTCCTCATTATGCGCCTCTGATAACATGCAATTGATTTTCAAAATCCGAAAACTCCCCATATCAGTAGTGTTTGTACTGGTTCCCTCGATATTTCGTGCATTCTGAAGTTGACCTTTATTACAACTGTCTTCTTGGAATGTTGAAAAGATTTTGCTTACGTAGTTTATTGATGAATGAGCTCAGCTGACAACTGAGGAATTGACTGATTGCAACTGGCATTCTTTGGGTCGGATGCTTACTCATCATTGGCCCATCAGAAATTGAGTAACAGGTTCTGATCACAAACTAAAATCGAAAACTACTCTTTCTCCTTCTCGATATCGAGGAAAACGCTGGGGGTTTCTCTTCTTTTACATTTCCGTAGTTTCTCGTTACTCCCGTCTTCATCAGCTTGACACACGAAAGGCTTCCTTGTGTAAGGCACGGTCAACAAGGATCTGATGTTTTTTACCTCGTGAATAATCCGATTCTTCAGCTGGGAGGTCTCGAAGTAGTGCTATCGCACCTTACCGGCAATCATGTGGGTTCGTCGATCGAAGCCGCCGGTGTACTCACTCAACTCACAAACCCTCAACATTCCTATGTTCAACTACAAAACATTGGACCAATTCTTGTCAGACTGCTTGGTGAGTAGCGTACTGTTCTTCCCTCTTTCCCAACTCCCTGATTCATGTTAGGCCTTTATTACAGATCTAATTGATGAATGCACGACTGGAGAGACTCTCCTATTGGTATCAGCCGCGTTAGCAAACGTTTCGTTGCAGGACCCAGCGGCTATCGACCTCCTGTACAGGTGAGACCTTACCTTCCTATACCGTAAGCTCACCATAACTGCCTTTCATTTAAGGCACAATGCGATCATCCGACTGATTAATGCCTACAATCGTCAAGAGTGCTCAACGATATTCGTACAAGAGCAGGTAGGGTTAGCGCTATCATCCGGAACAGCGTGTACTAGGGTTGCCTTTTATATTTTGAGATTTGGCAAGACTAGTGTAGCAATCTAGCAACTGACACCACTATCGTAAAGTTTGACTATTTTTAGGTTACGTTGCGAAATTTGAGCGCGATTTGTTTTGTTTACACTAAGTTATAAGATTTTGTTTAGGCTAG